AGCTTTCACATGCTGAAACATGTGAAATAAGAGGCTATTGAAAATATCATGGCTTGGGTCAGGTGCATTTTAGCCTTCAGAATGACATATTTGCTCTTTAATCTTTAAAGTGGTCTTTTCCAACAGATTTTCCCAGTGCAATACGTCATCTGGTTTTTTCACTGCTGCTTCCATAGGCGTTGATTGTAGATTCAAGGGAAATAAAATCCCTGACAACTTAAATCTTTTCTCCATTTACCATGATATTGCTTATTGGTCCAGTTGTAAGGATTTTTGTTTTATGTTGAGGGAAGGTTGGGCAACCCTACTTCCGTAGCGATACTGCCTCGGAAACCCAAGGAGGGGTCGCTATGAGTCGGGGCTGACTTGACGGTAAATAACAACAACAACAACCCATACTGAAGGCTACAGTCTTTGATTTGCATCAGTTTAGTGCTTCAAGTTATCTTTACTTTCAGCAAGCAAGGTTGTGCCATCTGCATATCACAGGTTTTTAATGAGTCTTCCTCCAATCTTGATGCTGCAGTCTTGATACAATCAAGCTTCTCAGATTGTGTGCTCAGCATACAGACTGAATAACTATGGTGAAAGGATAAAACCCCGATGTGCATCTTTTTTGACATCTGTTCAAACAACTGCGTCTTGGTCCACGTACAGGTTTCTCATGAGCATAATAAAGTGTTCTGGAATTCCCATTCTTCATAATGTTATCCATTATTTGTTATGATCCACACAGTCAAATGCCTTTGCATAGTCAATAAAACACAGGCAACATCTTTCTGGTATTCTTTGCTTTCAGTCAAGATCCATCTGACATCAGCAAGGCTAACCCTTGTTCCATGTCCTCTTCTGAAATCTGGCAGTTTTCTGTCAATATACTGCTGCAAGCGTTTTTTAATTACCTTCATATATCCTCATAGCAACCTTAATAAGCATTAAAATACTATTATCTCCCATTTTGCTATGAGAAAACTAAAGCATAGAGAGGTTAAAGAACTTGCCCACAGCTCCAGAGGAGAGAAGTGGCAGAGCCAGGATTCAAAAGTAGACACTCTCAGCTTGCATTCATAACCACTACACCATAAATCTGAAAGTTATAGTGTAAGAGAAATACAACACAAACAGTGCTTAAATATATCTGTAGTCTCAGGCTTAATTTTTTAAACAAATACTCTTTGATTCTTAGATTGTCCTTATATTTTTGTTTCAGGCAAACATTTAGAATATAAGTAATATAAAATCATAAAACTTTTTTATTATGCAATAGTAGAAGGGAAACTATATGACAGTGGAGTGAGTAATATAAGGCTCAAGAACGAACACTTCAAATGGACAGATTCATTCACCTTTCATTTTCCAGAGCAAAGGAGAATTCAGGAAAAAAATTTAAAGAGCATTAGATGATCACCTTACTAATTCTGGTTTAAAAGAGTGTAGAAATAGTGGTGCCAATAGAATATTCCAGCCTAGTACCAAGCTAATCAGTTCTGCTCCCAAATATTTAGATTCTGCCCTTTGATCCCATGTACACCAGAGAAAGTAAAGATAATGATTTGTTTAAAAGCTTTAAGTGTCTCTGTCTCTGACAATAAGCATTTGAATAAGGGAAAGAAAAAGAAGGGGCCAAAAAAATGTTTTAAAAGAGGAAGAAAAGAAGATAGGTTAAGGGGGGAAAAAAAAAAAAAAGACCAATCTCCTTTCAGAGAATATGGTCCATCCACATTAGAGAAAGGATTAAGCAGATACATTCAGCTTTTCTAACAGATTCTTTCTCTAAGGCTTCAATACCCCTCTCACACTCACTCAGATAATCACATTAGTTTTGTCATTAAAAGCTCCCTTTTCATAGAATGCACCTAAACCGCTTAAACCACCCAGAGAGGTCGCATACATTATCAAACACCAAGACAAACGGAAGAGATTTTCCATCTTATGTCTTATTATTCACTGTATCTATCTGCATGCTCAGAAAGCTAAACTAAAAGATTTGGTAAGTTATCAGCTAGAAAATGATTCCAAAATAAACAAATTCTAGAGTGTTCTTTAAAGCTGCTCTCAACTGAGAAGAGACTGGGAATTGAAAGAGTTTTTATGCTGATAGAACAGTCAAATGACAGAGGAGTCTTCTATTTTCCTTTATTCTTCTTCCTTGTATTCTATCAGCTAAGTCCATGATTATTTCTGCATGAATGTTGCAGCTTCTGTTAACAGTAAACAAAGCAAATGGAGTCTGAGTGTGCAAAGTCCAAAGCCAAATTAAAAAGAATGATACTTGAGTTGACATGGAAAATGGCATTTAGTCACTGCCTATGGATCCTTCAGAAATGTACATGGTTCAGTCAGAATTATAATTCATCTGCTTTTTTTCATAACCCCACTGCAACATATTAGCTCACCATCCTAAGCCTGAGTCACAGACTCAGAAAAGGACGACTGTTTGTCAGCCCTTTAAAAAGAAGGAAGTGTATCAGAGGGAGGAGGAGTCCTGGTTAAATGGAACTATCCAAGTGAAAGAGCAGTCCCCAACTGGCTAGTGTTCAAGGGATTAGTGGGTTGGGAGAACAGAGAGGGGTCAAGAAATGAGAAATAGAATGAACAGTGAAAGAAAGTGATCCAAAGCTAAGTTTGCAAGGGAGACATTAGGGGAAAAATTCTGAAAATCAAATGGGTAACTATAGGATGAAACTGGAACTAGAAAGAGGCAGTGGAAGTGTCTCAAGCCAGAGGCAAAGAGTAGAGATTACTACTGGTGGATGGAGGCAGGAAACAGAATATTAACTATATTAGAAGCAATTAATAATTCCTTAATATGTTAAGAGAAAAGATGAAGTCTATAAGAAATAACTGAAGAGAATGACAAGAACAAGTTCTAGATAAAAGAAGAAAGATGTATTTGTGGGGAAAATACACTAAGTTATCTTGTCTTGAAAATAAATTTCTGAAATGAATATATGCAAAAAGATTTGCTAAATCAAAAACACATGATGACGTATTTGAGGTATATTTGAGTGATTATTTACAAGAGAGAAAGAATAGAATATTTATTTACTTAAGACTCAACAGCAAAATACCTCAAGAGGAACTTTAAAAATTGGTGAGGAAACTAAAGTTAGACTGCTCACTGTTTCAAATAATGATAACCCAACTAACACTAAAAAGCTGTATTCCTCTGAATCTTTTTCTAGATCAGGGAGTAGCAAGCTACAGCTCCCTGGCCAAATCTGGACCACAGACTGTTTTTTTATAAATAAAGTATTAGTGAAACAAAACCACAATCATTTGTTTATGTGTAGTCTAACACATAAACTCGCTGTGAGTTGGAATCAACTTGACAGCAGTGGGTTGGGTTTTATGGCTGCAGAATTGAGTAATTGCAACAGACCATCATGGCCCACAAAGCCTAACATGTTTACTATCTAGCCCTTTATAGAAAAAGTTTGCTAACATCTGTCCTAAATAACAAAGGAATTCATCATATACTTTTATCATCTGACAACTCATTTGCTCCTTAAATAGGAATATAGATGCAAATATAATCCTCAACTGTACACAGCTAGAGTATAGAATTAAATCTGATAGCTGTCACACTGTGAGAGGTGATCTACCCAAGTCATCTGTTAAGTCTCCTCCTAATTCAATGCAATGTAGTGGAAGATGGCTCTGGATAATGGCAGACTTGAGTACAAATCCCACTTCTACCATCTCTCAGTTGAGCTTAATTTCCTCTTTGTAAAACTGAGATTATGCCTTTTTCCCCTGGATCACATATATCAATATGCTATATGCTTTGTAAATAATAAAACAAAATAGAATGGTAAGGCATTATTAGCATACAGACATTTAAAGAGGTTTAGATTTAGTGTCTTCTCATGCTTTTGATCCAGATTTTCTTCACATGAGAGAAATCTGCTCTTTTTAAGAATTTTCTTTGTATTTCCAAAATTTAATTTAATTCAATATACACTTCCTCCAGCCTGCTATATGCAAGACACTCACACATGTCATTCTACTTTTTAGATGAAGAAAAATTACTCTAATGACAAATGGATTTGTTCTATTTGGTAACAAAGCTACAACCAAGGTGCATATTTAACAGCTCAAAGGAACAGTTAAATTAAAAGTGCTCTTGTAACTCAGCTCTGTATTACCAATTCCATTTTCATTTCTAGCACCCATGCTAGAAATTGCAATCAGTTTTCTTTTATAAACATATCGACATCAGCTGACCAGACTGTGTATTAAAACTAAGAAAGTTCTCTCCAAAGGAGCACTTAAAAAGAGCATACACGTTAACACATTTTTACATGAAAATATTCTTAAAATGTATAGTTCTTTGAACTTCCCACAGCACTTTCACATCTAAAACTGTATTTGATCCTCACCACAGCCCTATCAGTTATGTAAATATTGTTATCCTATTCAGCAGAGGAAGACATGGAGGCTTATATGAGAAGAGCACATTGTCCAAGATTATATAGCTAACAGTTCTGGACTCCTCCTTCAGAATGCAAGTCAGTACTCTTTCCACTCCAGTCTGTGTGGGGATCACTCCTCTATATTGTGTAGCACTTAGAATGCTTTAGCAGTTGACTTGAATCACATTACTAAAATAACAGCTGCCACACATTAAGCATGGACCATGCATTATGTATCTGTAGGGGTTTTACATATACTACGAAAGTAAATAAATTATGCATACAAAGTATACAGCACAGGACTTGACACACAGTATTATGTGTCATTAATAGCAACTATTATTCTTAATTCTAATCCACACAACTCTGTAATTTAAGCATTTTATCTCAATTTTCTAATGAAGAAATTGGAAAAGTTAGGTAAATGCTCAAGGTCACCTAACCAGAAAGTGGCAGAACCCAGGATTCCAGAGCCCCCATGCCTGGACCTTTCAAGTCATGATACTGAAAGATAATACACATTTAAAAAAAAAAAGAGAGAGAGAGAAGTGTGTTATTAAAAAAGATGAAAAGCCTTCATGTTACCTTAATAGGCCAAGCAGGCAAAGGCTGTAAAAAGTTACACTCATAAGGGTAGTCCACCATTGCCAGGTTCACCCAAGTTTCAGAGATCCAGTCTTTCAACATCTGAACATCGTGAAAATTTTTTAATGGGCTGCATAAGTGAAGGACCTCAGAAAGCCACTGCAAACTACTGCCTGAGAATGGAATCACATTATTGGAACTTAATTCTTCTAAAAAGTACAAGTCAACAAAGAGCTTTACAGATCATTTATTCTTCACTTAGTTTTAGAAAACTCAAATTCTAATTCTCTAAGTATGCTTCTTCAACATTCAATACAGTATTTTTAGAGCAACTGGATAATTTCACAATAGACAAGTCATGAATCTTACCAAAATTAGTATTCTGAATTATTCACTCTTTTCTTTTGAGATACTGTTTTCAATTGCAATTAAATAAACACATGTGGGTATCCAGAATATACAGGCATACCTCAGAGATATTGTGGGTTCCGTTCCAGACTACCTCAATAAAGCGAGTATCACAATAAAGCAAGTAACAATAATTTTTTGGTTTCCTTGTGCATATAAAAGCTAAGTTTATACTATACTATAGTCTATTAAAGTGTACAATAGCATTATGAAAAAGTTTAAAATATCCTGAGAACTCAGGGGGCAGGAGTGCATGGAGGGATGGACAGAGGGAAGAGGTAACTATTGGGAGGAAGTGGGAGGGGAGCTGTTGCATTGGGGTAAATTGCAGTCAATGTCATGAGACAACGTGTGTGCGAACTGCTGTATGGAAAGTGAATTTGCTGTCAATTTCATCCAAATCACAATTAAAAAAAAAATTCTGAAAATTAGCAAAATGTGACACAGAGACACAAAGTGAGCACATGGCTGTTGGAAAAGTGGTGCCGATAGACTTGCTGGACTCAGGGTTGCCACAAACCTTCAATGTTTAAAAAATGCAGTATCTTCAAAGTGCAATAAAGTAAAACTCAATGAAACAAGGTATGCTTGTATAAAGAACTAATACAAATCAATAAGCTAGAGGTAACAACACTATTAAAAATATGGGCCAACCATGGCCATGTATAGGGTTGGAAGACAATGTTTCTAGAAATGTATCTGTATGTTCTGTAAGAATTCCCAGGTATATAATAGAGTTGGCAAAGGACAAGGTTGTAGTCACTTCTTGGCCACAGCCAGCTACCCAGAGGGAGTGCATAATTGGACATGTGGGCTCAGGACCATAGTCACAGGCAACATCAAGCTCAATTGTCATAACATACTACACAAAAACATTGTTCTGCATCCTACTTTGGCAAGTAGCGACTGGGCTCTTAAAAGCTTTCAAGCAGCCATTTAGATGCAATGATGGGTCTCTCCTCATCCAGAACAAAGAAGAATGAAGAAAATCAATGATTCATGGAAACAATTAGTCCAAGTGACTGGTACACCATGCGATCTGCAGCTTATACGACTATGAGACCAGAACTAAATGATGCCTGGCTACCACTGTCAACCACTTGGAGGGGGATCTATGTAGGAGATTCTGGACAAAGTGGGAGAACAATGTGGGACAAAACTCCAAATCAT